AATTATATTTTAGATTTTTTATATTTAAAATAAGATGTTTATCCTGTATTTGATTGTGTTTATCTGCAGTTAGTTACACGAATTCAGTTATGGGATGAAATCGGATAGGGATGAACGGGTTTAAGAGTTTTAAGAGTTTAAGAGTTTTTAAGAGTTTTAGCCAAATGCATTATAATATAGTATAGATATATTCAAATAAAGAAACATTATTACTAAATGATAGTAAAATATGAGAAATATATATATATATATATATATATATATATAGAGAGAGAGAGAGAGAGAGAGAGAGAGAGAAAGAAAGGTGTTATTATATAACTTTTTACATTTGTACAACCAATACAACCCAATCTTAACCGTCCATTTAATTTGATGAATATGTAATTTCATAGAAGTTTTAATTGTTTTCTAATATAATGTATTGATCATAATTAATTAATCTTATTCATTTTTCATAAATATTTAAATCATAATAAATGAACTCTCATCATTTTCATAAATATTTCAATTTATTGGGTTGCGTTGGTTGTACAAATGCGATGAGTTGCATTTGAAACAAACTCTTTATATATAGAAAGAGTAAGTTTCAAATGAAACTTATTATATTTGTATAATTAATATAATCCAATCAATTAAGATATTTATAATTGATTCTCTAAAAGACCTTATAGTAAAAAACAAATTTATGTACCCAAAATAAAAGTTAATAAATTATTATTAAAGTGGTATTCTTTTTATAAATTAATTGTGTTATTTAGACAACTAAAAGTTAAAAAAAGGAAAAAAATATTTATGTTTAAATACCAAGAATAATAAAAATTGACCTAACTTCAAAATAAAGTAAACAAAACGTATATAATAAACAAATCTGTATTTATTTTAACCATTTTTTTTTCTTTTTGAAAGTTAAAAAAATAACCATAAGAATGGTGTCTGATTGATTTTGAGTTTGGTTTCAAGATTTAATAGTGTCTAGAGATCAGGTTCAAATGCAGTAATTCCAAACCAAAAAGATTCAAATACGATAATTCCTGACCATCAGGTGATCGTCTTGAGATTAGTAACTCACATAACAACTGGATATCCCAATAATAAAAAAAAGAGGGTAGAAGGAGTTATAAATGCAATTTATTAAACTTATTTTGAATTTAATATACAATTAAGTAATGGTCAAGAGGGTATTAAATGTTTGTGGTTAATGACAATGAAAAGGTAGCCGTTGGAGGGAGCGGCCGTAGGTGGTAGTAATAATTAATTAAATTAATAAATAATAAATTAATTTTAATTTTAATTTGAGAAAATAAAAACTAGCCGTTAAGACTTCGGGGCACGTGAGAGAGAGGAGGAGGAGGAGCCTCTGAGTCTCATGGACCCTGACTGACATATTCCTTGTCTCACCCAAAACCACCACATTCTTTCTTTTTCATTTTTTCAAATAAATAATTTATCTTCTCAATGCAATAACTTTGATAATTAATGACTTATATTATAATGATTAAGTGGTCAGAATGATTTTTTATAATAATTAATTGATCATAATGAATTCTTATAACATGGTGTAAAAATGAAATATAGTTGTTTAATAACTATTTAAAATAAAATTAGAATATTAAATAGTTATTGGAGATCCAAGGTATAAAATCATTAAGAGTATTTTAGAATCATTATGATACAGACTTTTTTTTACCAAACAAGATTCACGCTCAATGATTCAAACACTATCTTTTAATGAAACTATTAAAAAAAACTAAACAAACAACCCCTAACCTTTTTATGCCCCTTTAGAAAATATTGATATTTGATTTATTGAACAGTTGAATTTTTAATATTATTTCAGTTGAAAAAGTTATATTGAATTTTAGAAAAGTTAGTAAATACTCGTATTTAGCAAATATTATAATTTTACAAGAACTGTACAGATATTATAAGTTATGTAAAATAATCGTGGATGTAAAGGTTAGTTTACATATATCTTGTTTAATTTCATGACATATTAAAATTAATAATCAAATAAACCTTTCAATGATTCTAAAGTACCTTCAAATTGATGATCTTTGAGAAGCAAAAATACACAGATTTACCTGTTAAATTATCCTTTAGATTAAGATATGATGTGATTTTTAAACGGGAAATTGACCAGACTGGTTATTTTGGACTAACACATTACTTTTTAGAAAATTTCTTTCAATTTGATCAGAATTAAATATGATTCCAGTGGGATCAGCTTGATAAACGATAACAAAGACTTGCGAAATCTTTTTCTGAACTTATAAGATGACACAATTTAATTATATTTTATTCATATAAAGTAGATTTATATGTTATGAAAGACATTGCAAAAACTTAGGGGCTGTTAGGCAGTTGCTGAATAGTTTAGTGCATGGTGAATAAGTGTTTTGAATGATTATGAGACTCTCATGATATAGTGCAACATGAAATATAATTGTTTACAATGAAATTATGTCGCTAAATGGTTAAGGGAGACCCATGATACAAAATCATTCAAAGGGTTTTAAAACCATAAAGAGACGTTTTTTTTTTGCCAAACAAGATTTATCTCTTAACGATTCATATATTGTTTCTTAATGGAGCTATTAAGAGATAAACAAACATCAAATAAATATTCGTTTAAAATCGTGAAAATGGTCAATTTTGGTGAAAGTAAATGTTTATTTACCATATCATTTGTATTTCTCTGCTGGTGGGAGGTTGGAAATCACGTGCACCATCGTCAAACATCATCTTTATCACTACAAAACCTTCTTCAAGACTACTTCATCCCACTGTTTGATTTCAGCTTCATTTCTTCTTCTTCTTCTTCTTTCTCACTGTCATGGAGTCTAAATTCAACCAAAACAAGACTCTTTTCTCTATCAAAACAACCCCTTTTGACCAATCCAACTTCCCCTTCAAGAAAAAAGAAAAATGGAAGAAGAAATATCACACACACTATTTCACCTTCTTCCTTCACCTACTCATTTCCATTTTCACTTATCCAGTTCCTGTTTCCAGCCAATCATGGGATGGAATCATCGTCACAGATTCAGATTTTCAAGCCCTCCAGTCTTTCAAACTGGCTCTCATTGACCCAAATGGGTTCTTGAAAAGCTGGAACGATAGTGGCTATGGAGCTTGTTCTGGAAGTTGGCAAGGAATCAAGTGTGCTCAAGGTCAAGTCATTGTGATTCAGCTTCCATGGAGAGGTTTAGGAGGTCGAATCTCTCCCAAAATCGGCCAGTTTCAAGCTCTCAGAAAGCTCAGCCTCCATGATAATGCCATTGGAGGTTCAATCCCCAAGGAATTAGGGTTCCTTGCAAATCTCAGAGGACTTCAATTGTTCAACAACAAGTTTACAGGTTCAATCCCTCCTTCATTGGGTTCATGCCCATTGCTTCAAACCATCGACGTAAGTAATAATTCCTTGGTGGGTTCAATTCCAGAAAGTCTTGCTAATTGTTCTAAGCTTTACCGGGTCAACTTGACTTTGAATTCTTTATCTGGTTCGATCCCTTTGCGAATCACAAAATCAAATTCCCTCATGTTTCTTGCCCTCCAGTTCAATAATCTTTCTGGGATTCTTCCAGATTCTTGGGGAAATGGCAAAAATGGCGTCAAATCTATGTTCCAATCTTTGACCTTTGACCATAATTTCTTCTCTGGGGCCCTACCTGTTTCTTTAAGCAAGTTGACTGAACTTGAAGAGATTTCACTGAGTCATAATCGAATCAGTGGAAGTGTACCAATTGAATTTGGTGAACTTTCTAAGCTTAAAAGTATTGATTTTTCATATAATGTAATTAATGGAAGCATCCCAAGAAGTTTTTCAAATTTAAGTCGGCTTAATTCATTGAATTTGGCTCATAACAATCTCTCCGGCGAAATCCCAATTTTCTTGGGTGATCGACTCAATCTTACTTCATTCAATGTGTCATACAACAATCTATCTGGTTCAGTCCCAGCACAACTTTCTTCGAAATTCGATTCGAGTGCTTTCATGGGTAATCTTGATCTGTGTGGATACAGCTCTTCAACCCCGTGTCCCATATCTCCTCCTCCTTCCACCACCCCATCTCCGCCATCAAACCACCGTGATGGTGGAAACAAACTAAGCACCAAAGAAATCATCCTCATAGCTGCAGGTGCTTTGATAGCCATTCTACTGTTGATTTGCTGCATACTCCTTTGTTGCTTGTTCAAGAAAAGGGAAGGAGCTAAACAGAAGGATGCCGAAGGTGGTGGCCGCAGCGCCACTGCGGCAAAGGCGGTGGGGGCGGCAGCACCTCAGGTCGAGGTGGCTGGAGAGACAGGAGGGAAGCTTGTACACTTTGAAGGTACAATGGGCTTCACTGCTGATGATCTTTTGTGTGCAACGGCTGAGATCATGGGGAAAAGCACTTATGGGACTGTTTATAAGGCAACTTTGGAAGATGGAGATCAGGTTGCAGTAAAAAGATTGAGGGAAAAGATCACTAAGAATCAAAGAGAATTTGAAATTGAAGTAAATTTGCTTGGGAAAATCAGACATCCAAATCTGTTGGCAATGAGGGCTTATTATTTAGGACCAAAAGGGGAGAAACTTCTTGTTTTTGATTACATGCCCAGAGGAAGCCTTGCTACTTTTCTCCATGGTAAGCATATATATGTTCTTCAATTCCCCTATCTAAAATGATGATGTGTTTATGTTCGATAAATCTTTGAAATTTGGACCAATTCGTGTTCAAGAACTTGATTTTGTCTACTTGAATGCAGCTCGAGGGCCTGAAACACCGGTAGATTGGCCAACACGGATGCGAATAGTGAAAGGAATGGCTAGAGGTTTGCTTAGCCTCCACAACCATCACAATATAATTCATGGAAATCTAACCTCGAGCAATGTTTTGCTGGACGAAAACGTGAACCCCAAGATTGCGGACTTTGGGCTGTCACGGCTCATGACGGCTGCTGCGAACTCGAACGTGATTGCAACCGCTGGCGCGCTCGGGTACCGGGCTCCCGAGCTTTCCAAGCTCAAGAAAGCTAATACAAAAACGGATATCTACAGTGTGGGTGTGATCATGTTAGAACTCCTAACGGGGAAATCACCGGGAGAGGCCATGAATGGTGTCGATTTGCCGCAATGGGTGGCTTCGATTGTGAAGGAAGAGTGGACGAATGAGGTTTTCGATCTCGAATTGATGAAGGATGCTTCTGCAATCGGTGATGAGTTGTTGAATACTTTGAAACTGGCTTTGCATTGTGTGGATCCATCGCCATCTGCTCGGCCGGAAGTTCAGTTGGTTCTGCAGCAGCTGGAGGAGATCAGGCCGGAAACCGCCACGAGTTCCGGTGACGATGGCGGTGCTGGACCTTCAATGAGTGAGTGAAAGTGGTGGGGTGAGTGAGGTTTTTGATCGGGGTAGTGTGGATGGTCATTCTTTCATTCTTGAAGGGGTCTTCTTGTAAATATAAGTTTGCATCTAGTTTGTTTTGTAGGGATGATGGTGTTATTTTGTGTGGAGTTCTTGATTCATTATGTCCAATGAAATTGAAAGTTTTGGTGCTCTATTTTTTTTTATTAACCTGGATATCTAATCCGTTATGCGAGCCGACTAATCTCAGGCCTGCTTTGCAGATAATCCGGAGTCACCGCATTTGAACCTCTGTGGCCATAAGGAGATTTTTATTACTCATTGGATTTAAACCTGAGACCTCCGGGTACTTTTGACGTTTGGAGCCAAACTCAAACCAATCAGGCACCACCCTTATGGTTTTGGTGCTCTATTTATGATCGCTTTATTTATGATCACTGGGTTTCTAAAAAATTAAAAATAAAATTCCATGAAGAGATTAGGGGAGTTTGATTTGATATAATTATTTTAAGGGATTTTTATTTCTTGTAAAGATTTGGAATTGGAAGAATTTGGAATCTTTGGTCAGTAAAATTTGAAATAGAATTGAATTTTATTCTTTATAAACAACTGATAAAAACAAATTAATTGTGAAAATCATTGCCCTAAATCCAGGAGAATGGGCGCTCGTGCGACTCTAGTTGCCAAAGACTTGTGGATGTCGGGTGTCTCCCTCATGCGGTTTATGCCTCCCCAAATGGTCGCCCTACGCCCATTGCTCTTGATCAATCTAGCAACTCTAGCGCCATATTGTGCGCCTTTACCCGCTGGCCAAGTCATCCGCTTGATTTCAGCCAAATCTTCAGCCCGTGCCCTTTGCTCTTGATCAATCCAGTAGCTTCGGCGCCTTATGGTGCGCCTTTACCCATCAGCCAAATCGCCCGCTCGATTTTCAGCCCCTATGTGCGTGTGGAGGGGCAACTTCCCTCATATGGCTTATGCCTGAACTGTGGTTCGACCCATTTTTGTGCGTGGAAGGGCTTTTGACCATCGGTCGTTGCTTTCCATTTTAGTAAGCCCTTTTAAATATGATTTTTGGTAACCTTATTCTTTCTCCCTACAAAAATTTGCCTTCCAAGTTTCAAGAACCCTCTCCATAGATTTCTCCATTATTGCAGGCCGTAAATTTCTCCCAAGTGTATCATCATCAAAATGATGGTGAATCAGTTTTTGGCATCCTTCGCCTGTGGTTTCTCCCTTTTCGGATTTCCACTTAAAAATCCACGTGTCTCTCTTACTTATGCTTTATTTTGCATTATATTGGGTTGATTGTTTTTACGTTACTTGGTGGTTGATTATCTTGCATTGTGAATCATTATTCCGCTTTAAATCTTGATATAAAACTTAAGTTCATTTGTTCTTGGGTTATTTATGTTTTATCGGGAACCAACCATCAATCTTATGCGAACAGGTCTTGGTAATTTCACAACATTAACTATAATTGTAAAAATAACAAAATTGCCTTTTTAATTAGGTTTTTACAAAACAAATACTTTTTTTTTGGTATTAAGAGTTTAATACCTCTAAGGGGCTGTTTGGTAGTTGCTGAATGGTTTAGTGCAAAACGATTAAGTGGTCAGAATGATTAAGAGACTCTCATCATATAATGCAAAATGAAATATAATTGTTTGATAATTGTTTACAATAAAACGTTGAATGGTTAAGGGAGACTCAAGATGCAAAATCATTAAGAGGATTTTAGAACTATCAAGAGGTAGATTTTTTTTTTGCCAAACAAGATTCATCTTTTAATGATTCAGATGTTGCCTTTTAATGAATCTATTAATAGATAAACAAACAACCTCTAAGTCTGATTCATTCAGACGTTTTTGGTATTAAGAGTGTGTTTTTTTTTTCTATTTAAATAAGAGCTTAAACCTTTGTGTTTCCTTTGAAATGTTAAGTGGTAATTTTTTCACTTCATACCACTGAAATCTCTCATCTCTCACGATCTCTCCCAGTCGCTGCATCTCACGCTCTACCGTTCTTCAGAAAGAGAGATTTCAGTTCAGATCCAAACTTTCGTGAAACAAAATCCAAGTTGAAGAGAGACTCACCGAGGTATGTTTATCTATCTTTTTTTGAAGTTTTAGAGAGAGAAAGCTAACCTATATGGCTCCTTTAGCTACAGGGTTCGTTGGTTTTCGTCTTTGCAACTTTATAGGTTTTTTTTGTTTCCAAGGATGGCGAGCTTGGGTTAACGATGAGGCTGTTTCCTTGGAGCTCCTGCACGTTCGGGTTATTAATGTTGATCGAGTTGTCAACTAATCACAAAATCTAATGCTTAGAAAAAGAAAAAGAAATTCGCTCGTTTATATATGTATATACATCTCAGAATTGTTCTTTCAGTTAAATCTTGATCAATCAGCTTCATCTTTATGTCATTATGTTTAAGAGCATTGCTATATCAGTTATTATAACTCAGTACATTTATTCTGTTTATCGTACAATTTAATAATACTATTTAATTTATCGACGATTCACAATATAATTTAATGTTAGACAAACTCTTGAAAGGTTTGTATTTGTCAATATTGTCATTGTTACATTTACTTGGTTTTTATTATTGGGTTAAATGCATGAAATAACAATCTACTTTCATAATTTTTCTTATGATAACATTCTACTTTTGTTTTTCTTTATTACAACAATGCACTTTCAAATTTATTTTTATTAAGACATCGTACTTTAAAAAATCTACTCATTATAGCAATGAGTAACCTGTTATATTTTAAACTGGTTAACCCTTTGACTTTTTTTGCTTGTATGACTTTAATGAGGTGATGTGGATGACACATCATTTTGATGACTTAATTAAAATAAAAATAAAAACTTATTTCAAATTATTATTAGTGATTGTCATTTTTCATTGTTATGATTAAAAAACACTTAATTTTTTTGACTTTTTCTTATTAAGTTGCATGCAAATTAAATATTCTAGAGTAATTTTTTTCTTAAATAAATATGCTAAATTATTTTTGAGATATATTTTTTTTTTTTGTAAAAAAGGTAACACTTCTTATTTTATGTTGTTCGAAAAAATACATATCTTTTAAAGTTCTCTCTAAAATATTAACGAAATAAATTGTATTCTACAATTTTTTAATATTGTTATATTAATAAATAATTCAAAAAAATCTAATTAATKTAATATATTTATAAGTCAAGTAAAAGTTTTTAACAAATATAATATATTTCTTAAAAGATAATATTTTTTTTTGGTAAAAAAAAAAAACAATTCTTATTTTCTTTTTTTCAAAAAAACACATATTTTTTTAAAAATATTAGCGAGATAAGTTGTGTTCTACTAGTTTTATTGATATTGGTATATTAATGAATAATTTAGATTTTTTTTGATTTATTTAATATATTTATTAAATAACATGTAAAATATCTAAATATTAAAATTAAAAGTACATTGTTTAATAATAACTAGTAGATGCTATAATAAAATAATTTTGAAAGTACAATGTTGTAATAAGAAAGTCACATTACTATAGTACATGTGGACAACCTACGTAGACAATAAGGTGGCATGAAAACCTGGTATAATGAGTAAATTTAAATAAAAAAGTTACCCAATGTTATAATGAGTAAATTTTTCATAGTACAATGTTTTAATAAAAAATAGTTTGAAAGTACATTGTTGTAATAAGAAAAACTGGAAGTACAATGTTATAATAAAGAAATTTATGAAAGTAGATTGTTATTTTGTGCATTTTGCCCCTTATTATTTATAGGGAGTTATTGTGATAAAGTGTTGATTGTTAGATGGCTAAAAGTGTCAAGAGATAATACTTCTGGACTGGGGCTCAATAAAGTAGAAGATATATATATATATATATATATATATATATATATATATATATATCTACTTGGTGATATTATCAAATAAGATTTCATTTTGAGCTCTCACATTCTTCAACACACAGTCAGACCCGTTTTTGACATTTTTTGGATCCTGAGCGATTTGTGAATTTTGGGCTCTCTATATATACAAAAAAAATCTTAAATAAATGTTTTTAATCATTAAAAAACAAACTTTCACACAATAATACTAATAATTTATAGAAAACAACTTCGAGTATTTCGGATACAAAATCATCAATAATGACACAGTCAAGTATTTCTCAGATTAGGGTTTGTATATTTTGTTCAAATCAGATGTATTTTGTGAATTAAAATTGAGAAAGATTTATAATCATGAATTCTAAGATGAACAAATACCAAATTGATTAATTTGGATATCTAACCTACTATGCGAGCTGATTAATCTCAGAACGACTACCCATCGCAATTGAACCTCTATGGCCACGAGGGGATTTTTATTCCTCTTTGGATTCGAACCTGTGACCTCCAGACACTTTAACCTTTAGAGTTCAAACTTAAACCAATCAAAAACCACCATTTTGGTTAAAATACAATATTTATTTGCAAGAGCCAAAGTAATGATCCATGCCTATGTTTGAACTTGTGATATGTAAAGGGAAACTATTTTGGAGGAGAATATCAACACACACAAACTGTTCTTAGGAAATTTCATATTGTGAACCGAATACATATTAAATAAATACATTGTGAAATAGATATATGTTAATCAATATATTAATTTTAACCTTAAATGGGAAAAAGTCAATATTTTACGTTAATAGGATTCTCATTTGATTATGCCTCTTTTAATAGATGCATAATTATTGTAAACTCAAGAAATCGCACAAACATACAAATTATTTTTCATGTGTTGGTTCATATAAGCATTGTTGTTTCATATACGAAATGTTCGGAATTGTTGTCTGTGAAAAAAAAACCCTAAATATATATAATTTCTTATTTTTAATACAAATCAAAATTTATATCATTTAATATAAACTAATTTTTGAAATAAAATCACCAACTTTTACTAAATATAGTTCGGATACCATGTTTTAAGAACTTTCACCGTATGTATAAATGTAGATTCTTGACGTAAATATCTAGATTTTTAAGAAAAAGGTTGATTACCTATAATTTTTTAACCGGTTTCACATGGTATTCAACCTTGAGAGAAATCCAGTGTGAGTGGGCTATTTACGACTAATATGACGATACGGCACGTTAGGGTGCCCAGACTCGAACCTTAGATTAACGAATTTTTGAGCAAACACCTCCTCATCTCTTTGAGCCACTGGGGCTACATGTCAAGGGCATGAGTGTGTGTGTGTGTATGTATGTATATATATATATATATATATATATATAGAGAGAGAGAGAGAGAGAGAGAGAGAGAGAGAGGTGAGTTATTATACAACACATTACATTTGTATAACTAATACAACTCAATCTCAACCGTCCATTTAATTTGATGAATATGTAATTTCATAGAAGTTTTGATTGTTTTCTAATATAAAGTATTGATCATAATTAATGAACGTTATTCATCTTCCAAAAACATTTAAATCATAATAAATGAACTCTCATCATTTCCATAAATATTTTGCAATTTATAGGGTTACATTGATTGTACAAATGTGATAAGTTGCATTTGAAACAAACTCTCTCTCTCTCTCTGTCTATATATATATATGGATTTATTTTGATAATATACTTGATATTTTCGTATATTTTAATGATTAACAAAGGGAAAATTACACCAAAATCCAAAATGGAACCAACTTTCACCTAATTCTTATTTTGGGGAACCAACTTTCAACTAATGTTCTTGGCGTGACTGGAGGTCTCAAGTTCAAATCCAAGAAGAAATAAAAATTCTTTTGTGGCCATGGAGGTTCAAATGCGGTGACTCCGGGCTACCAGCAAAGCAGGTGGTCGTCCTGACATTAGTCGGCTCGCATAACGGGTTGGATATTCAAATTAATAATAATAATAAAAAAGAATGTAGGTGTAAAGTTGCAACATCATATTATTGAAAGAAACACCCTGATATAAAATTAAAAAAAAAATCCCAAATCAACTAAGGGGTCGTTTACCAAACGTTTATTCAAGTAAGAGCTTATCAAGTCACATTACCTTACCGGATAAATATGGTAAGAACTAAGAATCTTACCTGGTAAGAGTGAGACAAGGACCAAGACACCCGATAAGTGAGGACGACGACTCTTACTACAACAAACGCTCATTGGGTAAATTGTTGCATACGATGTTATTTTGGTGAACTAAAGTCTTACCGAGTAAGTAAATGGTAATAAATTTTACCGATAAACGCTTACCAGATAAACGTTTGGTAAACTACCCCTAAAAACATGTCATTTTCAATATTAATATTTTTGTAGAAAAATATTTCTTATACGGATAATGTTAACGAATATTTAATTCGAACAAACATTTAAAATCTTCTGGATGGTGTATCTATCTATGATTTATTCATCCTCCAAAAACACATGCACAAATTAGTTTTCCATTTCGATTAACTTTGAGAGCATTTTAACTGCACAAAATACCCATCCAGTTTGAAATTCAAAATATTTGTTTCTGTCGATGTTATAATATGATTTTATGTGTTTTTAAGAAATCATTAATGATTTTATTTTTGAATAAAATATAAATGTGAATAAAAATATATCAATGTAAATATCAAATCAACTATATAAAAGTTCTCATTTTTTTATGTAATTTCTTTAATTTATTTTTTTAATTGTAATTTAATTTAAGTTTAAAATGAAATAATTTATTTTTGGTTTAATAATATAACATTTTATAAATATAATAATTAAGTATTATGTTAGAACTCAATGATTATCTTAATTATATTTTACATTTTTTATATTTAAAATGAGATGTTTATCCTGTATTTGATTATGTTTATCTGCAGTTAGTTACACGAATTCATATATGGAGTTTTAATAACTTGTACTTTCGCACAATGTACTTGTAATGTTGAAATTTTAAGTAATATGCATTAAATAACAATACTTTACGCATAAAAAATGGTTTTTAAGAGTTTTTGTCAAATGTTTTATAATATAGTATAGATTATTTACTTAAGCATACGTAAAAGATTACGTACAAAAACTTGTACAATTTCGTTCTACAATTAAAGAACATCAATACTAGATTGAAGTGTCTTGGGGTGGCTAGAAAAAAGTGGAGTAAGCAAGTCGACGAATCACTTTGTATCGACGTTTTTGTTTCTATTTTTTCGAACTTTTATATTTCCATGTTATTGTTTTTTCAAACGTTGCCCTAACAAACATGCGTTTTGGGTTCGTATGCATGGTATAAGTTGTGTACTATTTTTTGTATTTTCTCATCTTAATCCTGATTCATTATTAATTAAATCAGTTGAATAATGAATCATGTTATAAAATATTAACTGATAAATCAAGTTATCATCTTGAAAACCTTTTATTTTGGTTTTCGTCGTTTATTTGACTTTTATTGTCAGTTTTGATTTCTTATTTGCGTTTTTCATTTCTATGTTCTTTTGTTAGGAGAAATGTCGGTTTAGCATTAGGAGATTCTTGGTGGATGGTGTTGGTTGTTGGTGCTAGTGTTTAATGGATGACTGGTGGGTGATGAAGGTAGATAACATATAAGTTTATATCATCTTTTCGATCGTTAGAATGATTTGACATTGGATTCAAGTGTTCGATTATGATCGTACCAGTGTCCGTGTTTATTCAAATCAACAGATGTCCCCAACTGATCCATTATTGGTCATATCTGCCTCCATCTCATAAAAAAGTTTCAAATAAAAGCAATCCAGTAAATTTCCACCCTTATGTATGTGCCAAAGGTGCATACTACGTGTACATGTACTTTGATGATTTCTTTGTATCATTTTATGTAAAAATTTAAATACACAAGAAATATCGTTCTAAAACTGTATTAAATTACGACGTACAAGTCAGATCAGTTACGATACGTTTATTGCAAAGTTACTTTCGTGACAAGATGGATTCTTCGGAACATGAATTCGTGGTTAAATGTGTTTTTAGTATGCGAAACTATTGAACCACAACCAGCGTGTTTATCACAAAAGTGTTGTTTATATCAAATAAAAGGTTTTTGTGGTCATCGAAAAGCCACTTTGTGATAAAGTGGTGTCTACGATTGTCATTTAAAGTACGGTTTTTTATTTAAGATATACGATAAAATAAATATATAATTATCAATAAATATATCAGAAAATGAAAGTAATACTATTGTCCCTTAACATATCAAAACAAATACAGTTTTGAGAAATGAGTTGTTGCATATTTGAAAGTAAAGCGATGACAATTTGATTCGTCTGCTTTTGTTTCTAAAGGAGGAAAGTCGATAGATCTAAAATAGATTTTGAAGTTGGAATTGACAACGCACCGGACATCAAGTTGGGCCTATGTAATCGAAAGGGGAAAAATTACTTTTTTCTTGTTATGATAATTGGAAAATTCAAATTTATCGAACGTTTATATTATAAAAAAAATATTATTATAATATATAGTTAGAAAATTTAGGGGGTGTTTGGGATTTGCTTATTTGAAACAACCTATGCTTTTTTACAAAATCACTTATCAACTTATTATAAGTCAGAAGGGTTTAACTCCTTCAAAAACCCATTACGGGTTTGACACCAGTATAAGTTATTTATCCAAACATTAAAAAATGCTTATTATCGGTGTCACACCGAAAGAAGTCAATAAATTGTTTTATAAGCAATCTCAAACAACTCGTTAGATTAAAATTTTTTGATACAAAAATAGTTGCTAAAAGTATCGTTTTCAACTTGGAACATCACTAACTAATTTGTTGTTAAAACAATCCAACAAGATTCTCACCTAATTGGTTAACGACTTTTTTTGGAAATATCATCCCAAATTCCCAATCCCATCAAACGCACGAATCCAATATTTTATATATATTTAGATATCTTTTTATCTGTCTGTGTTACTATAATTAAATAACAGAGATTTTATTTTAAACGTCTGTTGTATTGTAATATCTAGTTAAACCAGCTTTTTTTCATCTTAATCATATTGTAGCATTCAAGTATGAACGGGATTATTTCTGTCATGAAAACCGATTATCTTCTTTATCAGATTATGTTCTATAAATTCCTTTTAAACTATGAAATTAATAATCACATGAATTCTTGGATTTTCTAACTCGCCCTCGGCTAGGGGTCCTTTGGACCCTTCCCCCGCCTGAGTTGGTGGCTGACTGGGCTTTTGATTTGCCATCAACTTGGAGAGCGAGGCCAACTGAGCTTGCTATAAAGTTTGTTCCATTTTAATGCATTTTCCCTATTCAAATAGTGCCATTTTTAATGTACACATCTCTCGACGTATACAGAATAATATGATTTTTGGATCTAAGATTAATAAAATGATTAAGATATTTAAGCACTAAAATCATGTACATCAAACCTTGCCTATCAAGGTTAACCTAGACAAAATTATAGTTTACTATCCTGATGAGAACATCTCCAAGAGGACATAAACGATAACGTTTTCACTCCAAAAGAATCCAGATACTTTGCGTATCAAAATTATACTGATGGAGAGAAGGATCTGGTATTTTCACGAATTTGGCAGTGTTTTTATGTGATTCGACAAATTTACGAGTATTTATAATCGTCCATATCAAAGTAGCAAATATAGCATTCAAGAATATAATTCACTCAGAGAGTATCTAATCACTCAATTCCCATATGCTGTATGCAAATGCTACCCTCCAAAAACACCTTCATAATTGTAGCAGTCTCAATACCATAATTACAATGTCTTACAAAATCAGAAGGTGATTAAGTGTATAGAAATAAGAAGTGAAAAGAGAGTCCATAAGAGGAAAGGAACAGTGAAGTTGGTAAGTGGTCAACTAGTTGTAGTTACCCTCAATGTAAAACTAGAAGTGTAGACTTGTGAAGCAATTAAGCATTGATTAAAACTGGTGTAGGTCATTGGTGCACCAACTTGGTCCTCCTGTGTGATCTGAACCATCACCCACAGCTGAACCACAAACCTACTTTGCCTACCTCAAAACAACCACCCATTCTCATTCTCTCTATATATATTATAAAATTTAAGCAGCAACCATTCTCACAACTCACAACTCATCTGACCACCATTCACAACCACCCAATGGCTCATTCCACCTTCTTGACCTTCTTGTTGTTCTTATCAACTGTAGCATCTATGGCAAATGCCACAACTCACTTCCATGGATTTGTTGTATGTGTTCTTTCTTGAATTCTTGAGGAGTTAATTGGATATGAATAGTAATCATACTAACTATTTGGCATGTGAATAGGTTCAAGAGACGAAGGTGAAACGATTGTGCAAAACCCATAATTTGATCACAGTGAATGGTCAGTTTCCAGGGCCGACATTGGAAGTTAGCAATGGCGATAGTTTAGTGATAAAGGTTGTTAACAGAGCAAGATATAACGTCACCATTCACTGGTATGGCTGAAATACATATGTATACATATATGGAACCAAATATTCATAATGAATGTACATGATATTCAGAACGACTATACATCATATTCACAAAGAGTGTACATATATATGATATTCATTATGAATATTTGGTTAAATGGCTAGACTAAAATGTGGTATTGTTGAAAATTTCAGGCATGGTGTTAGACAAGTTAGGACAGCATGGGCAGATGGACCTGAATTCATCACTCAATGTCCGATTAGGCCAGGAGGGAGTTATACCTATAGGTTTACGATTTCAGGTCAAGAAGGAACGTTATGGTGGCATGCACATAGTTCGTGGGTTAGAGCGACTGTTTACGGTGCTATTATCATTCGTCCAAGAAAAGGAGAATCTTTTCCATTCGCTAAACCAAACCGTGATTCAGTCATTCTTCTTGGTATGCAATTTAAAAAACTTGAATCAATATTTAATGGTTTCGAAATTGAAGAGTAATAATATGATGGTGATGATGATCAGGTGAATGGTGGGACGCGAATCCTATAGATGTCATAAGGGAAGCCACAAGAACCGGAGCAGCTCCAAATGTTTCTGATGCGTATACTATCAACGGTCAACCTGGTGATCTCTATAACTGTTCCAAAAAAGGTTTGTTTCTACCGGAAAACCCAGATTCTAATGAATCTTGATATGCTATTTTGATTTTATCAAGAGATTGATACGATGTTTTAATCACGGATGTAGATACGGTTATTGTTCCGGTGAGTTCGGGAGAAACAAACCTTATTCGGGTGATTAATGCCGCAATGAATCAACAGCTATTCTTCACTATTGCCAATCACAAATTCACTGTTGTGGGAGCTGATGCTTCATATGTGAAACCCTTCTCGACGGACGTCCTCATGCTTGGACCAGGCCAAACCACGGACGTCCTCATAAAAGGTGATCAGCCACCAGGTCGATACTACATTGCTGCAAGTGCTTATGCCAGTGCACAAGGTGCTCCATTTGACAACACCACCACCACTGCTATTTTGCAATATAATGGAAAAAATGGCATCGCTTCGAAGCCGATTATGCCGACTCTCCCGGCGTTTAACGACACAAAAACGGCCACCGCCTTCACCACCAGCTTCCGGAGCCAGAACAAAGCCGATGTTCCAACCAAGATCGACGAGAATCTGTTCATCACCGCCAGCCTTGGAGTCAACCAGTGCCCACCGAAAGCCAAGCCTAGCAACTGTCAGGCTCCAAACGGAACTCGGTTCACCGCCAGCATGAACAACATATCTTTCGTGCTCCCCACCAACTTCTCCTTGCTACAAGCACATCACCAGGGGATCCCTGGAGTTTTCACTGCCGATTTTCCGGCAAAGCCTCCGGTGACCTTCGATTACACCGGTAACATAAGCACGTCCCTTTGGCAACCAATCAGTAGAACTACGGTGTATAAGTTGAAATATGGAGCAAACGTGCAGATAGTGTTGCAGGGAACAGGTATCTTCACCGCCGAGAACCACCCGATCCATCTTCATGGATACGATTTCTATGTAATTGCAGAAGGATTCGGGAACTTCAACCCGAAGACCGACACTGCTAAGTTCAATCTTGTGGATCCAGCTCAAAGAAATACAGTCAGTTTGCCAGTGAACGGATGGGCAGTCATTAGATTCGTTGCAAATAATCCAGGTAGAGAAGACACATGATCAAACAGCTGGTGTGCAATATTTACAAGAAATCTTGATGAATTCTGTATTTGCTTTTCAGGTACGTGGATTATGCATTGCCACTTAGATATCCACATTGGGTGGGGTTTGGCGATGGTCTTCCTAGTAGAGAATGGGGTTGGAGATCTGGAGACATTAGAGCAACCACCAGAAGATTTGCCGGCCTGTTGATCGATATCATCATCAACAATATTCAAGATCGTCAAGTTGTGTAGAATTATGATTTCGATCCCCAAATTGGGGATTGGTCATTTTTTGCTTCTCTATTCAATTTGTTTCAATTGTTTGGAAGATGAAACACACTCTTCTTCAGAATCTGAGATTCAAATCAAACAAAAATTCTATTATCAGCATCATTTTTTCTAAGAAATTTATAAGATGCTACAGAATCCCGTTTAATCTTACATCAATGGCTTCAAATCATATCCACCATTCTAAAAGACTATGCAGAATTAGGGTTTTCCTTAGTATGGCTGTTTCCGATGAGAGTTCTCTGTGATTCCGACTCCGGTCACACCACCAATCCTTTTTCCAATTTGGGGAGAAGCAAACACAAGAAAAATGAAGGAAAACATTTGTATTTTTATTCCCAAATTGTCTAATTCATTATGTGTGATTTTATAGATTATGTTGATCCATGAATATTATGATAACCCTTTAATAAGCTTTTTACAACATTATAAACTTCTTTGCTGATAATAGAATATTATCCGGTAAGAGCGACACAAGATCAAGAGTCTTACCCAGTAAGTAAGGGCCACGACTCTTATTACAGTAAACGTTTGCTGGGTAAATTGTTGCATACGGTGTCGTTTTGGTGAACTAAAAAGTATTTCTCAGTAAGTAAGTGGTAGTGTTAAATTTTACCGGTAAGCGCTTACCAGGTAAATGTTTGGTAAACTGCCCCTAAGAATTGATTTTAATCACGATTTTGAAAAACCTAATTTGAGAGAGATTATTTTCTCTAAACCATGGTTCTAGCTAATTCGTCATGGCCTCGTTATGACATGTTTTGGTGTTAAGACTTGGGTATTAGAAAGACATTTTAATGTTCTCACTTTTTCCTTCGTAGGTTGTTTGCCCATGTTCACCCCTATGGCTCCACTCTAAGGCTTCACTTGCATCGTAACGCGTTATGACGTGTTATGACACTTTATGGCACGTTACGAAGCGTTATTTTGTAATGTGTAAGGTTACTTTAATGTATAACTTGAGGGATAATGATAATTATATATGGTACCTAGGACTTAAATAAACATAAAATGGAAACTTAAAAACTAAAACCTTAAATAGGTACATACTTACTCACATTAACAAACGCGAAAAGTCGAACAAGAACTCTTTGAAAGTAGAGATTCAAGAGATCTAATCCCGATTTTCCACTCTTGATATCTTTGTATAAGCTCTATATGTTTAGTATCAATGGTTGTTCTTTCCTGCTGCCTTAGGGCATGCCTTGAAAAACGTTATGGCTTTGCTGTAACTAGTAAGACTTGAGACTTGACCTCGCCATCATGTCATGCCTCACGTCATTTAGAACCTTGCTCTAAACCCTCTCCAATCTCCATAAATTAATTATTTATTTGTGTCTAGCAACATGAAAAATAAGTGGCATGTCCTCGTTCGTGTACTACTTGGAATGATTTGAGCGGTCCTCGTAGATACTGTGGAGACATCATAGAAGGTTCATGTTTGTAAATAGGTACGTACTATGTCAAACCACCTAATACTTGGAGGTCTTAGGTTCAAATCCAAGAACAATAAAAATCCCTTTGTGACCACGGAGGTTCAAATGCGGTGACTCCAGGCTATCTACAAAACAGGTGGTCGCCCTGGGATTAGTCGGCTCGCATAGCAGGTTGGATATCCAGGTTAATAAAAAAAAATTGAGGTACACGTTTTCAGGTCATTTATGGTCGCCTGGGGGATTAGTTGGTGTAGACAAACTCGTCTGAAAACTCATGACTACCAAAAAAAAAAAGTTTTAAGATTCCGGGGTGCTTGAAGTATCGTAACCAAACAAAAAAACCTAAGTTCAAAAGTTTTCTTATGTGAGCTTAGATCGTTATTAACTCTGTGATAATTATTAAAATCATCGATAAGTATTTTTATTTTAAATCCGTGAAAATCTGAATCTAAAGTATAATAATTCATTGGTACTCAATATGTATATATACATACATATAACTAGTGTTTGACATCGCGCGTTTCGCGATGACGATAATTTTTTTTAAAATTTATTGAAATTAGTTAAATAAGTTGATGATCACATTTATATATTAAACTAATAAGAATCAACATTACCTTTGATATATGAATCTAACTTATCATTATTGGTTGTTTTTTTAATATTATATATATATATGTATATATATAATTGTTAAGTCTTATATATATCAAACTTTGTGATTGGTTCAAAATCATAAAAAAAATATGTGAAAATATTGATTATAATCATGAGGTGTATTAAGATAATTATTTTACCATAATACATATCAATTTATCTTTTACATATATTCTTATAAAATATTATATTCACCAAGCAATCATTGTGTTGTTATTTACATTGATATAATTGTTGAATATTTTTGCAATTTGATTATATTAGTTCATGATATACTTATTTGCAACATTGGTCAAAAACCTCATTAAAACCACTTTTTTCCTACATGTGATTGCTTAAAATGAAAATAATAGCTAGTATTATGACCATTCTAGATATATAAGAGTCTGATTGATTTGTTATTTTTTTCATTTGACTTGTTCAAGCTTTTTAGATTTGTTTTAGACAGTTCATAGTTTGGTTTATTTATAAAAAAATCCTGAAAATAGAGGTTTTAATAAAATTATGTAAAATAAAAGATATGTATTATATTGAATTTCATATTTTAAATATAGGGATGGAAAAGTCTTTTACATATATCAAATATTTTAAAAAATATAAAATCTAAGAAAATAATGGTTTCTAATGTTTAGAGGATAACACCTCATTATGTTTGATTTCTTCTTTAAAAATTAAAAATATTATAAAATAATTTCCAAGCTCAATGCTTAAAAAGGAAGAAGAAAAATCACAATAGACCGATCAACATAAACAAAAACTCATATCATATTTTTAAATGTCGTGTTATGAGAACCGCGCGTTGCGCGGTAGCATGAGTACTTTGATTAATAATCTGAATATTGTCTATATAAATATGTATTAGTTGTTAATAGAATTATCAACAAATAATATTTAAATAATTCTAAGAAGTTAAATAAAATATAATTAGTGAAATTTTAATATATATATATATATATATAGAGAGAGAGAGAGAGAGAGAGAGAGAGAGAGATTTGTTTAGAAATAAAGTTGTAAAACTAAATAAAATGAGTAATAATAACGATGGGAATATCAAGGAATTTGACACAAACTCAAGAATAAAAAATACTTCACATAAAGATATGTCTCCTTCAAATATTTCAACTTACATTGATGTAAGAAAATCAATTGAAAGAAGCAAAAAAGAACCATATTGGAAAACTTAAAATATACGATGAGTCAATCCTAAGGCATTGCAGTAATCTAACTTCAACTTTTCGTTTTCTTGTTTTGTTGTAAAAAGAAATCTGTAGGGCTATTTGGGTTGACAATAAATTGAGCAATGAACACTTACGCAACCAAAAGATAACTTATAAAAGTTCTGACATAATAAAAAGAACTATCAAGAATATCATAAAAAAATCAACCTATAATATATTGTTTTAACACATATAAAGCAAGTAAATCAAAAAAAGCCCAAAAGATATTTATATTATACATAACTAATCTCATAAAGCAAAACGATTACTTAGTGGAGAGAGAAGCGTAAATGTCTTGTATGTCAAGAATTATGAACATCGACGGTTGGAATCATGTTGCACCTTAAGAAATTAGTGAATACCTATAAAATTCTTCAATTAATTTCATCATATAATTGCATTATTAAAAATAAATATATATGATTCATATAACAAATCATACATGATCCAGACGACTTTACCCTGTGACTTAAGTGGCCTCAAAAGTCGCAAGCTTCCATTTAATGTAAAATCACATGTGAGTTTGTACATTAACGACATTTTTTTTAAATAGTAGCGTTCTCGTTCGAACTTTCCTCTATGTATGTATTATATATATATATATATATATATGTGTGTGTGTGTGTGTGTGTGTGTATTTTATATATTTGTGGATTCTAATTTCATTAAAAAAATATATGATTGAAATATTTTTATTGAACTATCTCTTGGTCTTATCTTAATATATTTTAAATATATATTGATATATTGAGAAATTTTGATATATATTGATTGATTTTTGATGATTTATTTTTTCAATTGTCATGTATATAGAAATTTATATACATTGATGTAAATAAAAATAAATGTATCTACATTTTAATTTCATTTATAAAGGAAAAAAAAGATAAATACGATTGAAACTTCTCATTGAACTACCTCTTGGTTTTTAATTTAATATATTTTTAATTATATATTGATATATTGATTGATTAAATTTTAATGTATTTTGATATATGTTGATTGATTTTTATGTTTTCAATTGTGATGTAATTAAAAATATACATTTATTGGTATAAAATAAAATATATGTAGTTTTATGTATTTGTGGATTCAAATTCATTTACAAATAAATAAATAAAATTAAGTTAAAAAAAAGGAAAATGAAAGGTTTAGCAATTAATATGTTGATTGTATATTATAAATAAATAAATAAAATAATAATAAAGATAAATATGATAGAAAACTTTTCATTAAACATCCATTTAGTTCTTACTTCACACACTGCGTGTTGCATAGTGATGAAACTTGTTTTGTTAGAAAATACATAATCAAATTAAGGTGAAACGTAATTTCATAATCAATTGTAATATAAGACGGTTATTACATTGGAATGTTTTTTATGCAAATTTTTTTCATTGATATTGTTTCTTGTAACTAAAGAAATTCATACATTTTATATTTTTCGGTTGCAGAACAATAATTTTATTGAAGTTCAATTTGTATAAAAATTGTTAGCCGCAACCCGCAAGTATTGTATGATTAATAYTGAGCACTATCGTAGGTGTATGCAAAAGTAATYTTTTCAATTTAGCTTGTAACACTTATTTTCCAGATTTTTTTTAAATAAATTCATGTACATATAGTCATCCGAATAATTAAATGTGTAATCACAATATAAAAATGATATAACTAAATTTATAATACARTTAAATAATAGGAAATAAAATAAGAGTATTTTATTAATTGTTGAATGAAAT